CTTTGAAATGAACCATGCTATTATTGGCAGAGAGATATTTAAATGCTTCCTGGGTGTTCTTCCAAATTAGCTATAGAAAATGAAATAATGATTCATTTTCAGAAGCACTCTGAGCATCTTTTACCTGTAATGTGACTTAGATCTTCATATGGTTGGCTCTTTCTTGTTGCTGATATTTTTCACTTCAAATATCACCTTTTAAGAGAGGCCTCGGAGAAATCACTCCCCCACACCCCCATAACAACGTCAGTATCTGATAATAATCTCGTGTCTTCCTAACAAAATGTAAAGCCCCATGAGGCAATAACCATGTCTATCTTGTTCACTACTGTCTTGTGTGTCATATTTACCCATTCTCTAAAATGTATTAGGCAATCAGTAATTATTTGTTTAATGAATGAATAGAAGAAATATTTACTAATATTTTTCTGAAATTGTGACATTTTCTATAAATGTCAGTAGTACCTAAGAAATTTGTTATTCCATTGAACTAAAGTTTTATTTTTTTAAAAAAGTTTATTTATTTTTGAAAGAGAGAGAGAGTGCGCGGTGGGGGGGCGGGTAGAGTGAGAGGAAGAGAGAGAAACTCAAACAGACTATATGCTGAGCATGGAGCCCCATGCATGGTTCCATCTTAGGACATGGAGATCATGACCTGAGCTGAAATCAAGATTTGGATGCTTAACTGACCGAGCCACTAGGTGCCACACAAACTAAAATTTTCTAAATCAAGTATAGTATCTGCTTTCTCTTGCCTTCTATTTTGCAAAAGCATTATTTGTAAATGTTGAATGAAAACTCAGGTAATAAGAATTTGACCTAGAGTAAATGTTAGAGTGACAGAGAAATATTTAGTGTTAGGGATAACTGTGATTTTCTTGTTACATATTGAACTGAAAAGGAGGTCAGTGTTGCTGGAGTGAAGTGAGCCAAGGGAGAGAATAATTGGAGATATGAGAGGAGGGGAGTTTAAGGCCTTGTGACTCATGTGGACTTTGACTTTCACTCATAATAGGTAAACACCATTTGAAGGTTTTGAGCAGAGTAGTGACATGATCTGACTTATTCTAAAGATTCTTGTGTGGAGGACAGACTGGTGTAGTAGGTGAGTGTGGAGCCATAGGAATACTAAAGTATGGTCTATTTGTGGGCTCTGACATCAGTTTCACTGGCAAATTTGTCAGTCTCTGTGTTAAGACCACTCTGTCTTAATTTCTTTTCTATTTTATTTTATTTGAGTAATCTCTACACCCAAGATGGGGCTTGAACTCACAACCCTCAGATCAAGAGTCACATGCTCTACTACTAAGCCAGCCAGTCACCCATCTTCTCTTTTAATTTCTTTTTTTTTTAAGATTTTATTTATTTATTCATGAGAGACACACAGAGAGAGGCAGAGACATAGGCAGAGGGAGAAGCAGGCTCTCTTAGAGGAGCCTGATGTGGGACCCGATCCCAGGATCATGCCCTGAGCCAAAGGCTCAGTTCAACCACTAAGCCACCCAGGCGTCCCCTCTCTCTTAATTTCTTTTTTTTTTAAAGATTTTATTTATTTATTCATAGAGAGAGAGAGAGGCAAAGACACAGGCAGAGGGAGAAGCAGGCTCCATGCAGAGAGCCTGACATGGGACTCAATCCAGGGTCTCCAGGATCACGCCCTGGGCTGCAGGCGGCGCTAAACCGCCAGGGCTACCCTCTCTCTTAATTTCTATAGTTCAGTTCTATGTCTAAATGTATTTGGTAGGACATCCTACCAGATCCTATCCTCAAGGTCCAGTCTTCCTATCTTTCTTATTAGGAGGGTGTTGGTAGCATTTGAGACTCTGTTCTTCCATATATATTTCAGAATCAGCTTGTCTTAATTCTTCAGAAAGCCCTGTTGGGATTTTGATTGGAATTGGATTGACTATATAGATTAATATGGAGAGAATTGACATCTTTATAATATTCATACTTCCAGCCTTAAAACTGGGATAACTCTATTTATTTCGATCTTCTCTGATGCCTTTGAATAAAGTTATATATATATATTTAAATAGAGGTTTTGGACATCTTTTATTATGCTAAATCTTTAGTGCCCCTTTTGTTATAAATGTGGTTTTAAAAATTACATTTTCTGTTTATTGATGTTTACAAATAAAATTGATATTTGTATATTAAGCTTATATTCAGTTACTTTGTTAATGTTTATAATTTGAATGATTTGTAAATGTCTTTGAGTTTTCTATGTAGGCAATATTATCTGTAAATTCTATTTTGCTTCTCTTTCCAATCCAATATGTTAACATTCATCTATTTTTTTCTTATTTTACTGAGATGGCTAAAACCCATCATGATAAAGTTTAATAATAATGTTAATAAGCATTAATAGGACTTCTTGTATTCTTAATTTTTAAAGAGACTACATCTAATATTTTTGCCTTTATGAATGGTGTTTATTGTAGGTTTTTGTCAGATACTTTTATCATGCTATGAACATTTAAAAGCATTTAATTATGGATATATTGTTCTTTAGAAAGCTTGTACCAGTTTTATTCCGACCATCAGCATATGAAAGGCACACTTCAAGTCAGTACTTTTCCACACCACATGGGTACTCCTATTTTTGAAAAGTTTCAAATTTCATAGACAGCAAATAATTTATTGATTTTGATTTATTTCTTTTAAATCAATATTTTCTGTTGGTACAGCTATTTTTCATAAAAATAGGATAGTTTTTTGAAACAAAATAACTTATTTTAAAATAATTTTAGATTTAGAGAAAAGTTGGAAGGGTAGTACAAAGAATTTCTTGTTTCATAGACCCTTGACCCAAATTCCCTTATTGTCACCATTTAATCATTCTTTATCTCTTTCTCCATACACACATACTTATTATTGTTTTCCTGAATGCTTTGTTGCAAAGTTTATCTCTAAAAATGTTGGTGTTCTTTTTTTGTTGTTGTTCATTACATTTTTTATTAGACTATCTTAGAGATTCTAGGCTACACCTTATTAATTCCCCAATTGAACTATTATTGACATTTAGCATATTAGTTTTAAGTGTACAACGTAATCATTCAATACTTGTATATATTGTGAAGTGAATACAGTAAGTCTAGTTAACATCACTACCCAGTTACCAATTTTTATTCCTTGTGATGAGAACTTCTAAGGTCTCTCTTAGCAACTTTCAAATATATAATATAGTATTATTATTTACAGTTACATGTTGTACATCACTCATAATAATTTATAGTAAAAAAAAATGTTTTTTCTTATCCTGATTTAATCCAGTCCAGTATCATACATTATATTTAGTTATGTCTCCTAATCTTTTGTGGAACAGTTACTTGGTTCCCTATCCTTTATTACCTAGACATTTTTAAAGAATACAGGCCAGTTAGTTACTTAGTAGAATGTCCCTCAGTTTTGGCTTGTCTGTTGCTGCCTATGGTTAGATTCAGGTTTTACCTTTTTGGAAGGAATGTGACAGAAGTGACATTGTGCTACATCCTATCAGGAGGCATATGATGTTGATTTGTTCTATTATTGATGATGTTAACTTTGATCACTTAATTAAGGTGGTGTCTGGCAGGATTCTTCACTATGAAATTACTATTTTTCCCCTTTTAATTAATGGGTATTTTGTAGTGGAGCTACTTTGAGACTAGATAATATCCTGTTTTCCATCAAACTTTCAAATACTAGTTTTAGCATATGTTGATGATACTTGCCTGAAATAATTATTACCAGGGTGGTTGCCAAATGGTGATTTTCTAATTCCATCACTCCATTTATTATTTGGAACTATACTCTCAGAGCTTTTCCTTCTCCATCTATTTATGTAAGTTGGGACTGGTGTGTTTTTATTCTATTCTGTGGTTTATACTCTAGTGTATGTATATATATATATATATATATATACATATATATATATATATATGTATATATATATATAGTTGTTTAGATGTTTCTCATTTGACCAGAAGTGACTCAAGCTGACTCCTGTGTCCTTTAGACATGCTCCTGTCATTTCTTTGAGCATTACCATCCTTTGAGCATTACCATCCTTTCTGGCACCACCAATGTATATCCTGGGCTTGTGTTGTACTTTTTCCTCCTTTTGCCTGGGAATCAGCCATTTCTCTGAAGAACCTGGTTCCTTTTATTGGTGTACTAGCTGTGCTAATGGATGTTGGAGTTTCATTGCTTTTAGGCCCCCTCAGTAGACAGAGCTAGGGAATATATATATATATGTGTGTATGTATATTTACACACCCATTTATATCTATTTCTCCATCTCTGTATTAAGAACTGAGCTTCTATGGTCTCTAATTCCAAGCCTTCATCCTTTTCATATTTGGCTTTTTTTTTTTTTAAGATTTTATTTATTTATTTAAGAGAGAGTGTGAGCACACAAGCAGAGGGGGAGGGGTAGAGGGGGAGAGAGAAGCAGACTCCCTGCTTAGCAGGGAGCCCGATGCAGGGCTCAATCCCAGGACTCCAGGATCATTACCTGAGCCAAAATCCTAACTGACTAAGCCACCCAAGTGCCCCCATACTTTTTGTATTTGTAACTTCTTTTTATGAGAATAAGAAGCCAAATTCTCATTATCCACAGTGTATTTATTTACTTACTTGCTCAGTCTGAGAACACACATAATTTCATATCTCTGTGTAAAAACAAATATCTAAATATAGTATTTGTTTATAATTTTTTTTTTGTCTAAATTTAGATACAGGAGAGTAGTTAAAACATTGTTCTCAAAAAGTTACCTGGAGTTAATTCTTTTCCCTCTGAATCCCTCTTCCCCTTCAGTGTGGTTATGTTATTCATTTCAAATACAGATAGGTACATTTGTTTTTGTTCATTTTGGGTTCTTCTCTCATTATTATTATTATTATTATTTTTAGTATATGAAACATTAACAGGATTATAAAAGCACTGTATAAAATACAAGGATATTTTATTAGAGTATGGAATAAAAAACTTAAGGCTTTTGTGTTTTCTTTTTCAGTGAATCATTTCATACTTCACGTTTGAATAAATATGTGAAAATCCCTGTCAACCTGTGAGAATTTCTTCTTTCGACATTTTTGTTTTACTTCACAACTTTCTCAGAAGTTCTTTCTTGATGCCATGTTCTGTGGCTTGCATCAAAAGAGGAGTTTGTCTTCATGAAGATTCCTAACATTGGTAATGTGATGAATAAATTTGAGATCCTTGGGGTTGTAGGTGAAGGTAAGTTTAGTATTCCAAGTTTCTGAGCAATGTGTGTAGTTATGTATATATGGTAATTCATTTTTCATAAGTCTTCTTGATTTCTTCTTCTTTTTAAAAAGATTTTATTTATTTGAGAGAGAGCAAGCAAGAGAGAGCACAAGTCGAGGGGAGGGGCAGAGGGGACAGAGAGAAGCAGACTCCCTGCTGAGTGGGGAGCCTGATGTGCGGAGCTCGTTATGAGAACCCTGGGATCATGACCTGAGCCGAAGGCAGATGCTTAACTGACTGAGCCAGCCAGGCGCCCCTCTGATTTTTCCTTTTTAGTAATTGTTGCTTGACTTAAAGATAACTTTATGGAGATTTTGAGAAATGATTCTGTTGACAGGGTATGAATGATTATAATTATGGTTTCTTAGCATGTATTTATTCTTTTAGAGGGGGTGGGGGGCAGAGGGAGAGAGAATCTTAAGCAGGCTTCAGGCCAGTATGGGGCTTGATCTCACAACCCTGAGATCATGACCTGAGCCAAAATCAAGAGTCAGAGGCTTAACTGACAGCCACCCAGGCACCCCTAGCATTTATATCTTTAAAGCAAATGTTAAAAAAATTTTTACTTTATGAATTTTCAAATAAATTGTGAATTTTAAAAGGAGTTTAAAGATATACCTATGTGAACAGCAAAGCTGTTCTAGATTTTAATATTAAGTATTTAAATCATTTAAAAATAAATACAATTAAAATGCAGTCTGGGATGACTGCGTGGCACCATGCTTTCTGCTCAGGTCATAATCTCAAGGCTGTGAGTTCAAGTTATGTGTTGTGCCATGTGCTGGACATGGAGTCTGCTTGGGATTCTCTCTCCCTTTCTCTCTGCCCCTCCCCTGTGCTCTTGTTCACGCACATGCGTGCTCTCTTCCCCTCTCTCAAATAAATAAATAAATCTTTTAAAAAAATACAGTCTCTTCATTGGATACTTTAAATTCTGAAGTTGAAACCATATAAAAAGAATGGATCCCCTACCAAAAAGAAAAAAGAATGGATCCTTTTTCATCAGTCAACTTCTTTTCCTTTTCTTCATTGATACTAATTATGTAAATAAAATTGATTCTTTTTTTTTAAATGAAATTCATTCTTGATGTCTTACCTACTGTTTTATATAGCTGCTTTTTTGTTTGTGTTTTCCCCAAAAGTATTATAATTACAGACTAATGCAATAAAGGTACTGGCTGGAGCGGGTGAGCTCATAGGGGTATAATAGTGTTGTAATGCTTCAAATTCTGGGCCTAAGTTTTTCTGGATCACAACTTTGATTTCCTTAGTATACCTGTAGTGGATCATCTTCTCAGGAATTGGCTTAGATTAACTAAACTACTAGACTGTTCTATAAATCAGAAAATTTCAGTTTCAGTTATAGTTGGAACTACCATTGCTATGTATTTTTTCCTTATAAACTACCTCAGATGCTTTCTGGCTAGGAAATACATATATATTAAGGAAATTAAAAATTGTGTAGTAAACTCTACATTCCTGTAGCCTGGGCAGTGTATTTTCACTCCATAGAAAAACTGGCATGGGCTGTTAAATTGTAATTGAAGGATTACCTGGTGATTATGGAGTTAAGTTAGATGGTGGTAGTAGCTGATTACATCTTGACTATGATAATAAGATTCATTGATCTCCACCAAAGTGAGGGAGACTTATTCTGGTTCTCCAGATTCTGTTCAAGACACATTTCCCAATTTCATCTCTCTGAAGTTCCCTTGTCATAGATGTATGCAGACTTTGCCTGTCTGTTAATTTTCTTGACATCTCTACAAACCTCAAGTTATTATACATTACATTTTGATTCTGCTAATTAGGTTGTCACAATATAACTCTAACCTCTCAGTTTCCTGGGTATCTTGCTGTCAACTCTGTTCTGCCTCTAAAGAAGTAGTTTTTTTTGGCTAGATAAGAGGATAAGTAACCCAAACTGTAGTAACAAATCTCATCAAAGTATACCAAAGAAAGTGGAAGTGCTTAGCTATAAGTGGCCAGAGAACCTTGGACTACTTATGATCTGTGCTGAGTCTTTATTTATGGCAAAAATATAGCAACTCCTACTAGTTATTAATTGGGATGCTTAGGCCTATACTATCTTACCAGTCAGGAAAGACATTTTGTCTTCTAGGATTGAGAACATATTTGGTAGGCTTGGTACCTGAGCTTTCTACTGGGAAACACTAAGCCTTTAAATTTTAAATTTTCTACAATCTTTTGAGTTTATTTTCATTTACTCTTAAAGTTCTTATGTCTAAATTTTATCTCCAGAAATTTTAAGCTTAAAAAAAAAAAAAGAAAGAAAATTTAAGCTTGTATTTAAAATGTCTCCAATGAAGTTTTCTTTAAAAAGAGAAACATTTAAAAATACTTGTTGGGCAAATGAATTGCTTATGCTCTTGTTCTATAAAAAATATATATACTAAATATCCACATTCTATTTATATGTGGCTCATTGCATTGTCACTGCAGAGTATTGTCATTTTAGGAATCATTATTATAACATATACTGATAGCCAATATAATCGAACTTTTATTTCTCTAAATGAAATAAATACATAAAAAACACATAAATAAAAACACAGTTTATATATGTGCCCCTAATTGTTTCTTTCTTTTTATTGTAGGAGCCTATGGAGTTGTACTTAAATGCAGACACAAGGCAAGTACATGGTTTTTGAAAAGAAAATAATGTATATGCTTAACTGTTTAGAAACTAATGTATTGTTCTGTGCATATGGGTGTTTAAAATTAAAACTGTCTGGCTATGATAATGATGTTTAGTGAAGTAGAACAAACATGCGAACCCAGAAAAAGACTACTTTTGGATAAGCTTTGTCATGATGATGTAGTCATTAATTATTTGCAATCATAGGCTATTTTTTTCTCAACTGACCTATGTATATAAGTGAACAGCTTCCTAATGGGAAGAGAGAAAAGGTGATAGAGAAGAAATCAAGGTAGTGACAGATTTATGTTCAAGTACTTTTGAGCAAGAAGGAGTTTCACTCAGTCATTATTTTTCACATAGATCCAATAACTTACATTATTTGGTAGATCTGAAACCAGATTTTGAAAGGTAGTGGATAGGTGTTTGCTTATGAAATAGGTCTTCAGATAATAGTGTATGATTATCATTACTGGTTGTAGTTAATCACCCTTGAAATGGATCTTACTATTTAGATTATTGGACTGCTATACTAATCATCAATTATTTAGGGAAGTTTTTCCAGATTTCCCATAGCTGTTGCTCAATGGTAAGCATGTTTTACTCAGAAACTAACTTTAATGTGGCAAGTGTTGCAGCTGTAACAATTTTAAATGTTAGGTTAAATATCTTTCTGTTATGGTATATATACCTAGTCTGAGTATTACTATCTGGTCTCATGCTATTTTGTGTATAATTTTGTTATTAAAGTTTTTTGTGATATTTTCTACTGGAATAATTTATGTCTGAGATGAATTTAGAAATTTAGCCCAAGTCATAATTTAAACTCTGAAATGTATCTATCATAACATATATGTATGTGTGTTTATGCATAAATAAAGAGGATACCGTTTTTGTTTATTTTTTCTTAACTCTTGCACAAAAATGGTATGTTTTGGATTTAAGGCTTCATGACAGTTGATGTATTTTTGGATTTTAGATCATAAATCTCTTAATGAATTTTCTATTCTTGAAATTGGGTGTTCAAAGTATCTTATATTGGTAATAATTATCTGAAGATCTCTGCCAGTAAATCCACAAAAATGGTTTGAATACTGTGGTTCTTGATCTAGGATGATTAAGAATTTAAAATAGTATACATAAAATAAATTTAGCACCTTAGATACCTTGTTAAGAAATATTACTGCAGTTGGAAATTAAACAAATGGAAAGCCCTCTAATGAATTGCTATACTGTTAATGAATTGCCTTGAGTTATAATAAATTTCTGAAGCTTAAAAAAATAAAATTCCTTGGTGGATACTACTCGGGGGAAATAGGTTGTTAGTTTCCAAGTTAAATTTGATTCTTTCAGTGAACGCAATACTTCCTTTTATACCATGACTCTGTTTATGCAGCATAAGTGGATGCTTAAGTTCTTAATCTTTCTTTCTTTCTTTCTTTCTTTCTTTCTTTCTTTCTTTCTTTCTTTCTTTCTTTCTTTTTCTTCTTTTCAAAGATTTTGTTTGTTTATTCATGAGAGACACAGACTGAGAGAAAGAGGCAGAGACATAGGCAGAGAGAGAAGCAGGCTCCTCGCAGGGAGCCTGATGTGGGACTCGAATCCCGGATCCCAGGATCATGACCTGAGCCGAAGGCAGGCGCCCAACCACTGAGCCACCCAGGGGTCCCGTCTTTTTCTTTTAAAAAGATTTTATTTATTTGAGAGAGAGAGAGAGAGCACAAGAGAGTGTGTGTACAAGCGGGGGGGGGGGGGGGGAGAAGCAGGCTCCCTAAGAGCAGGGAGCCCAATGTGGGCCTTGATCCCAGGGATCAAGGGATCCTGACTTGAGCTGAAGGCAGATGCTGAACCAACTGAGGTGTCCCCTTAATCTTAACCTTTGAGTTTTGAAGTTGAAAGTTTTCTGATACATAATGCAAATCTTCCAATAGTGTTTTCTCTCAGTCTTGTCATATTTCTTCCTATAACTGTTTCCCCATGCTTTTTTTGACCTTATGTAAGCTCTCTTTCTGCCGTTATGTAAAAATGAACTTTATTATTTGAATATATTGTTTTTATCTTTCCATGTGTCTAGTGTGTTTGTGTGTGAAGATATGCTTGTTACCTGTACTTGGTTCTCATAATGCACACTGTTAGTCCCAGCAAGATGGGACTAGAGTGAAAGTAGATGAGAAACAGATATTCCTGCTCTTGAGAAACCAACTCTAAATGTGAACTATAATTCCTAGCGCACTTTGAGTTATAAAGACAAATAAACCATAGTTCTCTTGCTCTTGTCTGGCTTATGGTCTGAAGAGGTAGAAAACAGATACTTTAAAAAATAACCCATGAGATTGCTGCAAATGACATTGCATCTAAAAAATATCTCTTTTTACTGACCTTCACTAAATGAGGGACTTGTAGACCAGCTCTCTAAGCATTGTTGTTTTTCCTTTACATGCGTCTAAAAAGATTTTGCTGGATGAAAAATGTAACACATAAATTAGTGCCTAACCCAGAGTACTATAAAACTCTTTTTAGAATATGCAGCTGTTTAGGCATTAGATTTGTTATAGATATATCCTCTTTTTAGCTAAAATCAGACCTTCGAATCTGCTCCATTATCCAAAAAGAGAGAATTTGATTCATCTAAGGTTTTACCCTTTGGGATCGAACAAATGTATTAAAATGAAATCTCATGTTATAGTTAAAAATGGATATAATCCTCCCTGTTGTACCTATGATATGTAAAATAATCATACCTATATATTTTGTGTAACTTTTAAAAATTTAATGAAACACAAAAATGTATAAATCAGGTCTGTATGATTATATATGCATAGGTACATGTGATGACTTATGCATCAATTTGATCTCTTTTGGATAAGGTTGGTTGTGGGTGTTTATATAATTAAAGAATTCCTAGCACATTATCTATTTGAGCAAGTATGAAAGAAAGCTACTGTTACAATCTGTGTAGTAATTGCAAGAAATTTAGAGGTCATGTTTATAAACAAATGTATCTTGTCTTTTGAGAACACGGCATGGTGTTGGGCTGTTTCATGCCAAAGACAATACTCCTTAATTTTCTGAAACAAATGCTGCACAGTTAAAAAAGAAAAATGCAACTGTACTCTCTTTTCCTCTGTTTATTGTATTTACACACATTGACATATATATATGAAACGTCTTAGCAGTAAGTATTAAGCTACTTATGGCACCTTAGGACTACTCACATTTGGAAGAAGTTCTGGTTTGGACCTTTACTCTCCAGATATGTGTTGCTGGTTCTCTTATTATTTACATGTCTGCTTTGAAGTGCTTATGCATATTTTATAGTGTGCTTTTCTTTTGCAGAAGCTCAGAGAGGTCATCTTTATAACAAAGCAGGGCAAATGGAAAGTGGTGACATAGGGAGATGTGCTTAGAAGTGGAAAATGGGGGTGGGGGGTTGTGCAGCCTGACTGAGAGAGATTGGGGGGCAATGTTAATTCATCCTAGGACAGGGACGTATTGATTCATGTATTTCCTTTGGTTGTGGTTGACATATGAGAAATTTTTGTTTGTTTTGAAGTGGTAGGTGACATATGCTCTTGGGATAACTAATTATACAACGCCATGAAGAATCCAGCATTGGGGTAGAACCAAGAAGTATTTAATAAATAATAAAGTTGACTTAAATTACAGAATCAAAAATGAAGGCCACTGTAGAAAGCTATTGTAGAGTATCAGGTTCCTGTGGAAAGATTAGAGATGATCCCAAGGGTTTGTGGTAAACTGAAAAATCATTGCTATTATTTATATGACTGATAAACTAATAAAGGGGAGCTTTGGGGAAGAAATAATGAGTTTGGCTTTCATAAAAAAAAAAGAATAAAATGGCAGCAGAATACCAAACTTGGTAATAAATACCACATACTGAGCATCTAACATATACCAACTAACTCTGCTAGTTGTTGTCTACTTAATCCTCACAACAGCCCTATTCTTCTACCCATTTTACAGATAAGAAAGTGGAGTCATTAGAGAGGTTATATGTTAGAGCCAAGATTATGCAGCTAACAAATGGTGGAACTGGCTTTGATATGATGCCAGAAATCACTAACTTGAGCATAACTGTGAAATGTTACGGACCTGTCAAGAGGGAGTGCAGAGCAGAGTTAAGGGCATGCTTAAATAGTCCTACTGAAAGGAGTGGGAAGCAGACCTCTAGAAAGAAAGATTCTTTAAAATGGTACTCCAACAGTGTAAAAATCCATAAAACACCATGATGTGCTTGCTTCAGCAGCACATATACTAAAAACACCCATGATGATAAAGACTGAGGGGTGAGAAGATCCATTTCATTTAACATTTTCATTTATTGATGACCCTTTTCAGTGAAATGGTACCTTGAATGCCAAATTGCAAGAAGTTAAGGAAAGAGCAGGTGGTTGAGAAAATCTGGATTGTGCCATTTTTCTCTTTTGAGAGTTGTGAAATTGAGATTAAGAGTAGTAGAATAGATGTGATTAAATACTCACTAGTCAGGAATACCCATATTCCTCCCCCCTCGCAAAAGGCTTCTTGCATTATTATCACTTATTATGCACGATTTGTCTTTTGTTATAAAGGTTCATTTTTAGCAAGCATTATATATTTTGAATTAGCGATTCCTTTTTTTCTTTTTCAGATTAATTTTGTTTTCCACCAAAAAGCTGAATGATGATTCAGTCACTTTTAAAAAATAAAAAACAACTTTTTAAAAGAAGATACTTGAGGAAAAGTCAATGAACCATCACCAGTTTAACAGATTACTTATAGTCTGCCATCTAAAACCACACAGTTATTTTCTACTAAAACAAAATAAACTTTCAGTTTTTTTCCACATTAAATGAAACAAGTCTTAAAATTTTTTTTAGGTTTAAGTTTTACATGTGAATTGAGTTTTTAAAACACAAAAGAGATGAATCAATAATGATAAACAATATATAGGATTAATTATATTATTTTCTTTGTCATTACTTTCCTCCTCA